GGGGGGGGGGGGGGGGACATGGTGGGGTCCACGGAATGTGTGGTAGAAATCAACTGATGTACTTTCACCCAAGTGGGCGTTAATCAAACGAAGAAGAGCCACTCGATCGTAGATCTCCGTCCTGCATCCACAGCCATCAGTAGGAAAGAAGAAATGTTACTCTACGCGACACCGCACACAACAAAAACCCATTAATAGCTCTGCCATCCCCTTCCCATGCAAAGTCAGGAAACAGCTCTGATTTTGTGTCGTCTCATTTTTCTGAATAATTAGCCAATATAGCCAATTTTTATTAATTACCAACCTCTTGAAGCATCAATATCTCCCTCCATATATTATATATTATATATATATATCAAAAAGTTCCCTTACATTATTGCCTTTCTTTAAAAGTAAATTGAGATGCTTCTAATTATAGACGGCTTAAATTCTTAAAAACTACGTCAATTTCATTTCTTTTTCCATATTAATCTTCACTTTTTTTTTTTCAATAAACGTTTAAAATATCTATTTTTATCCAAATATAATATTTTTTAGTCACTCCATTTTTCATCCTACCATTTAATAATTTTTTTTACTCGAAATATGTTTTCGAAATGTTTATAAAACAGTAAGTATAATATTATTATAGAATAAAAAATTAAATTTATCAATCTAGTATATTTATTCGATATAATAATAACTCAAATCATTTGGTATTCGATATAATAATTTTAGAGTTGGTTAAGATATTATATTTTAAAATTAAATCAATAAATTTAAGAAAAAATAAGATAAAATGGGAAGGAGAAGATATTGGAGAGAAAAGAAAGAAAGAAGCAATCACATGAATGATGAGGACAGCAAAATCACGGATCTCACAAGGTTACAAAAAACCATACAGCTTGATCTCTTTTAACCTCATCCCACCCATGGCTCACACACCTTTCCTTCACCATCCACCCACATGCCTCTCTCTCTCTCTCTCCTCTCCTCCTTCACACGAACACTTTCCACTGTACGCTCACGTTAATTCAAATTTTCGTACAAATACAAGCATTACTTATAACAGTGGATAAATCTTTGTCTAATCGACGCATGTTAAAATTATAAGGCTGATGGCTATACGTAACTGGCCAAAGTAAACAATATTTGCTATCGATGGGTTTGGGTTGTTACATTCTCCCTCTCCCTCCCTTTATGCAACTCTTTTTTTGCTCCGTTTAGAAATGAAAATAATGCATCACCATAGAGCCCTTCAATTTGGAATTTATTATTTCAAAAGTTTCAATTTGATTCGTCTATCCTCTAATACAATCAATTATTATTTCAAAACGTGATATATCTATTACTCAGTACAATAATGGTCCAATAATTCATGAGATTTGATTAAACTATAAACATCCAATTGTATAACAGCTCAAACCTACCACTAGCAAATATTGTCTTCTTTGAGCTTTACTTCAAGGGATTTCTTCACGATTTTAAAACGCATCTAATGGAGAGAGATTTTCATACCCTGATAAGGAATGCTTCTTTCCCCTCCTCAACCAATGTGGGATCTCACAATTCATCCCGAATGGATTTAGACTGTTACAAATTGAAACTATCAAATTGAACATAATTCAACTGATTGGAATCTTCTTCATCCATGTAGAAAGTTAACAAAAATAAAAATGACATTTCTATCGAGACGAAGCGTTAAAAGACGTCGGGATTTGAGGTAAAAAATGAAGGATATTATAGATATGTGGAGACATTGGTTGTTGTAATATACATCTTTGTGGTGTGACCTGTTGTTGTAGCTACCATGCATGGGCACCCCCACATGCCTGCTAGCTGTATGCTATCTCTCAAATCCCTCTCGCTTCTTTGTTTTCGTGTTCCAATAAGGCAAACGGGCAAACAGATTGACACAACAAACGCTAGCTACCTGCCTACCTACATCTATAGCAAACTACAAGAAACGCGGTGAAAAACGATTTGGATCACAAATTATGTTGGAATCAGCGGTTTAAGCATGGAGCTCAACAATTATTGTTCTTCAGAAATTCCCATGCAAAATTATGAAGGAATCGGCATGAATGAGCTGGTTCACATTCATTGCTACCTTTTTAATTATTTCGCAAAAATCCACACTCTATTTATTATTCGCTCTCAATTGTTCAACTTTCAGTATCATTTTGTTTTTGTTTTTGTTTTGTTTTTTTTTTTTCTCATATTTTTATTATTGAAATGTGCGGTGTTCATAGATTTGTATTATCGAGGACCCCATTGCTTAATCATTGCAGGGATAGAGGGTTTCTATTCTCATAATTGAAATGAATTAGGATCCCATGTTCTACTGTTTTGATGACATTTGTTATATCAATCTCTGCTAAGAAGATAAAATCGGAAGGAGTAGAGAAAATAGATCA